GGTCCCTTGTACCTTTAATCTAGGTTTAATCTACCTTTAATTTAGGATCTCATGGTCTGTCTAGAGCAGGGAATAGTGGGACTGTCACCACATATTATAGATACATGCTGTATCCATGTTGTAATACACGGAATGTTGAGGGAAAAAGAGTTGGGTGGATTAAAGAAGATTTCATGAAGGAAATGGCGCCAAATTTAAGCCTGTAAGGAAGATAATAATATGAGAGATGGTGATGAGATGGGAGTGCATTTGAGGCATAGGGTCACCTTGTGGGAGTGAATCAAGTTTGGAGTCATCCAATTCTAGGGACAGCAAGTAGTCCAGATTGATTATAATATAGAGTTCATGAAAGAGAGTAGTAGGAAACAAGACTGGGAAAGGAGGTAAGAGCCAGAGCATGGAAGACTTAGAAATTAGTATTTGTTGTATAGACAATGGGGGAGCCACTGAATAGTTTTTAACATGCTGTATGGAAGGTGATTTGGGGAGAGGAAAGATCATAAGCAAGAAAACCAATTAAGAGGCTATCAGAATAATTCAGGGAAAAAAGAGGGGCTATGAACTCACACTAGGATGGTGGCTACTTGAAGACAAGTGGTCAGTTGTCTGAGATTTTGAATTAGCATTGACAAAATTTGACAATTTATTAGACGTGAGAAGTGAAGGAGAAGAAAGATTAAAGATTTACGCTGAAGTTGGTAGTAACCTGTGTTGACTGTTAGGATAATGAGCCCTCAAGAGGGATAGGAGGAGTTTGGACTGGCAGCTTTTAAGGAGGGTGAGGGGAAGAAAATGAATTCTTTCCAGTGCTTTATCTCAATGCTGTCCTATAGTAAGTGCTTCATAAATTACTTGAGTTGTTTGGGGCATGTTCAGTTTGAAATGAAAACGCTATATTCTGGTGGAGACATCCATCAGGCTATTGATGGTGTAGAGTTCAGGAGAGAAATTGGGGTTGGATATAGATTTGGAAGTTATCTGTATAGAGGTAATAATTAAATCCACAAGTGGTGATTAGAGCTTCAGCAAAGCGTGTATAGAGACAGAAGTGAAGGGGGTCCAAGAAAGAGCCCAAAGTATTACTTTTGTTGTAGAGTCAGGAGATGGAAGATGAGGCAGCAAGGGAGACTGACAAGTAGTCAGACAGATAGGAGATGGATAGAAAGGATTTTTTTGTGGAAAGATTATCTAGAAAGATGGGTGGTCAGCAGTACCAAAGCTATGGAAAGGTCAGTGGAGATGATGGAGGATACATTCCCAAAGACCATCAGATTTAGCAGTTAAGAGATAACCTTGGAGGGAAGTTTTTTTCTTTTTTGACTTTTCTTTTTTTAAAAATTTTATTTATTTTTCGTTTTCAACATTCACACTTCCACAAGATTTTGAGTTCCAAATTTTCACCCCGTCTTGCCCCTCCCTCACCCCAAGGCAGCATGTATTTTGAATACCCCTTCTCCTACTGTGCCATCCCTTCTGTCTCTTCCCCCCCCCCCTCGCTTATCCCCTTTCCCTTCTATTTTTCTATAGGGCAGGATAGATTTCTATATCCCATTTCCTGTATTTCTTATTTCCCAGTTGCATGTGAAAACATTTTTTTTAAAACGTATTTTTAAAACTTTGGGTTCCAAATTTTCTCCCTTCCTCCTTCCCCACCCACCCTCATTAAAAAGGCAGGTAACTCAATATAGGTTATACACGTGCAGTTATGCAAAACACTTCCATAGTAGTCATGTTGTGAAAAACTAACTCTATTTCCCTTAATCCTATTCTGCCTCCCATTTATTCTATTCTTTCTTTTGACCCTATCTGTCCTCAGAAGTGTTTGCTTCAGATTACCCCCTCTCTCAATCTGCCCTGCCCTCTATCGTCCCTCTACTCTCTTGTCTGCTTCCCCACCCCCCACCCCAGTTTTCCTGTAGGGTGAGATAGATTTCCATACCCAATTGAGTGTGTATGTTATTCCCTCCTTAAGCCAAATCTGATGAGAACAAGATTCACTCATTGGGAGGGAGGTTTCTTAAAAAAGAGAAGGTAATAGAGGTTGACTTTGTCAAGAAGGTTCATCTCTTCTTCAGAGACAGGAGTCAAGGCATAGAGGATGGGTGACAGTATAGACAAATTTAAGTTGTAGAGTAGGGCAGATGAGGGGTGTTATGGTGCATGGTATATATTTTCTCAGTAAATTAGGAATTGAAGACATCTGATGACAGAGGACATGGTAGAAATTTGGAGAGATTGAAGAGAGAAGGCTTAGAACACCTACTGATGGGAATGAGAGAGATGGTCAAGTGGAAGATTTAGAGCAATTAGAAATGCTTTACTTGAATGTACATAATTGAAGCAAAATTACATTTTTTTCCTTGTCTTTGCCTTAATTCTCATGTTGCTTTATGGATGGAGAAATAGTACTTTCATATACAGCTTAATTATAACTTTTTATTTTTAGAGGTAGGTTACATTTTGAATAAGCCTTAACTTAATACCTCAGCCTTGGTGATAAATGAAGCAGCTGCTAAATGCACCCCAGGGGTGGGGAACCTGCAGCTTCGAGGCCATAAGTGGCCTTCTAGGTCCTCGAGTGCTGCCTTTTGACTGAGTCCATGTTTTACAGAACAAATCCCTTGAGCCTTGAGGCCCCACACCTGGCTTAGGACTTACGTGTTTAATCCAGGCTTTCAGTACTTCAGGACCAAGGAGAAGGTATATGGTTTTTGACCCCATCAGAAAACACAGTAGAAATAGTATAGAAACAGGACAGAAGAGGGGATAGAGAGTAGGGTTATCTGATAGTGAAAGGGACAAGTTCAAACAGCAAGTATTTATTAAGTGCCTATTACATGTTAGGCACTGGTGATACAAATACAAAGAATAAACAATCCTTACTCGAAAAGAGCTTACATTTTAATGGGGCAAAGATAACGGGGATGGGAGGTGAGCAATAATAATAGTACTGTTTATGAGTGATAGAGAGAAGGTCAGTTGGCTGAATGGGAAAGTATGGGAATGAAGAGATGGAGTACGGTAAACGTGCAAAAATTGATTGGGTCCAGATTGTGCTTGCTTTAAGAACTAAACAGAGGAATTATTTTTTTTCCCTAGAGACAACAGGGAGTCCCTGCAGTTTATTGATGAGGGGAGTGACATGGTTAGATCTACATTTAAGGAAAATCATTTTGGGAGCTTGCGTTAAGGATGAAGTAGAGTTTGGAGATACTTGAGGCAGGGAGACCAATTCGGAAGCCATAATAATATTCTAGAGATGGTGAGGGCGTGGTCTAAAGTTGTGGTCATATGAGATGGGTCAAATGTGAGAGATGTTGAGGACTTAGAAAGATTTGGTAACTGACTGAATAAGGAAGATGAGGAAGAGTAAAGAGTTTATGAATCAAGGAGACTTGAAGAATGGTGGTAGCCTTAGACAAAAACAGGGAAGTTTGGAAGAAGCATGAGTTTTGGAAGATAGCTTGTTCTACTTTGGACATTTTGAGTTTGATATGTCTCTGGGAAATCCAATCTGAGTTGGTGTGAAGAACTGATTAACTGAATCATGGGGACTATACTCATATTTGATACAAAGGCTTGATCTTTGTTCTATTTCTCTGCCATTTCATTTAGTCCTAGCTGGCATGTGAAATTTCATATTATGAGATTTCATTGGAGGAAAAAAATAATTTTTTGGCTTTTGTATAATGAACATATATTTATTAAGTTCTCAGCAGTATGCTTGACCTGAGGGGGTGGGGAGGGAGGTGAGGAAGATACAAAATAGATATGAGACAGGGACCTTGTCCTCAAGGAATTATTGTCTTGCATGGTCTTAGAGGCCTCCCAGCATTTGTTAGGATGAAAAATCAAGTCTTCTCTCTGGGTTCATTTACTCTGTAAAGTATTATATACAGGAGATGAAAAAGGGGCTACAGTGCATATGTTCTACATTGTTTGTCTGCAGTCCCTCAGTCTATGCATTAACTCCTCACCAGCCTAGCTTTGGAGTGAAGGGTGGCTGTTTTTGCATAAACACTGTCATTTTAGTGGCACTGCTATTTCATCTTTGAACCATGGCATCAAAGAAACATTGACCTTATTCTTGTTGCTTGCCTGTCTTTGAAGCGGATGGCTTTGCATTGCAGATTAAAGTGAAGACATTCATCAAGAAACAGATCTGGCAAATCACTCCCCAAACTCTGGATGAAACAAAGCTTTTCAGGCTTCGATTACAGTTGCACAGCAGAGTGAACCAAAGATGAAGGCTTTAATGCTAGTCTCCTCAGATCCCTTAAGATAGCAAAGCAGGGCGATAGTGTGGGCCTTTTAGTTTGGGGTAACTTTACTCTGTAAGTTAGTTACTAAGTTAGTTTTCTAGGCAGAAAAGAGAAAGTAATGGTAGGATTCCCAACCTGTGCTCTTCATTCCTCGCTTCAATTTAAATAAAGCAAACATTTGGAAAAATTAGGTCCTCACAATAATATTCTATGCACATTTGGTTACTTCAAATGAAAGCCTTAGTAGAGCAGTAGCTATAACAGGCCGAATAAATTGTAAACTTTTATGTTTACTGTATCATTGCATTTTTCTTTCACGACTACTGATGACTCTTTTAAAAGGGAGTAGGAACTGTTCCTGTGTACTATCTTTCTCCCTAGGGCTTAATAAAGTGCAGGCACTTGATGTTGCATTTTAAGAGAAGAGTTCCTAACAGGTATGCCATATTTAAAAAACAGGTAATATATAAACTAGTATAAAAATAAAAACCTACTAAATTTGTATAGTAAATTCAGATGGGATTATTTGCCCTTGATTTGTTAAATTGATATCTTGTACAGTTCATTTTAAAAAGTCTAATTTATAGAAACTCATTTTATATGAGATATTTCATAACAAAGTACAGATAAAATGCTGGTATATATTCTACGTGGTTGAACTTTGTTCAGGCACAAGAAAGACAGAAACAGCCCTGGGAGGCAAAGTAAATATGATCTATTATACATTTGTTGTCTTACCATTTGTTGTTCCGTCTAGTCCCATGAGAGATTTCATAGACCTGATTGTTTGCTCTGCTATAGGTGCGGACATAGATGTAGCATAAACAGCACCATGTGAATAAACTCTTAAATAATCCACCAGGTCCTGAAATAAAGTAAAAAAAGAAAACCAAAATATAAATAAAATTAACTTTAGACTTTAGTTTGTGTGTGTGTGTGTGTGTGTGTGTGTGTGTGTGTGTGTGTGTGTGTGTGTTTTGCAAGAAGTGGTAATCTTCCCCATGGCCTACATTACGTCTGTTCAAAGGGGAAAAAAGAGTAGACTAATTTGACAGGAATGTAGACTGCATAGAGAGAATAATGTAAAACACACTAGCAAAATAGTAGGTAGTATTGTTAGTTTTTGTTTGTGTGAGCCTTTCTTATCTTTCCAACCAGACTGTATACTTCTTGAAGGCAAAGATTCATTTGTTTTCCCTGACAGCATTAAATACTGTGTTATCAATGCATTGCTATCTTTGCATTCCCAGAACTGTGCAGGCGTGTGCGCACCCTCCCCCCCGCCCCCACATACTCCCACTGATTGAATTGAGGAGACAGTACAGCTTTAATGAAATATCTGGGCCAATGTTGATGTTGTTGTTGAGTTGTGTCCAGCTCTTCATGACCCTGTGGACCAAGCTGTCCATGGGGTTTTCTTGGTAAAGATACTGCAGTGGTTTGCTATTTCCTTCTTCAGTGGATTAAGGCAAACAGAGATTAAGTGACTTGTCCAGAATCACACAGCTAAGTGTCTGAGGCTGGATTTGAACTTCGATCTTCCTTATTCCAGGCCCTTGGCTCTATCCATTGAGTCAGCTAACTGCCTCCTCATCCAGTAAGAGGAGACAAAGTTGGAAAGGTAGATAGAGGCCAGATTGTAAAAGGTTTTTAATCCCAGCTTGATTTAGGCATTTGAATTTTACACAGAAGCAGTGGAGAATATTAAAAATTCTTGAATAGTATTACTTAGGGACACAATTGTTAATAAAATGGTGATCTTCATTAGTAGGAAAAATCATTAGCCTTTGTTTCTTCCTCCTGATACCAAAATAAAACCTATAGGCAAAACTAATTAATTTTTACTCCACTTAGAACTTGCAATAATTTGACCAAAGGTTAGTTTAGAAAACTAACTTATTCAGTGTTCTTTTCAAGTATCTTCTTGTGGAAAGCACTGTACTAAGCACTTGAAATTCAAAGATGAAAAAAAATGACACCCCCTTTATTAAAGGAACTTACTTCTGTTGGGGAAATGAAAGAAACGACTATAAATAGATGTGTATAATAAAAAGTAGTGATCCAGAGGAAGTATGCTAGGAAAAGTGGAGGCAGTGGGTACTTGAGGTGAGCCTAGAAGGAAGAGAAGGATTATGAAAGGAGAAAATGGGGAAGAGAACATTCTAGGTGGGATAGGGAAGGGGGCTGCTGAGCATGTCTGGAGGTGGGAAATGGAGTGAGTTTATAGAATAACCAGTAGCCCAGTTTCAGTGAAATGCTTAGTACCACAAAACAAAAAAACTCCATATTTTGCTATTTAAGGTGAATTTGGCCCAACTTACCTTTTCAGTTTTGTTTTCTACCATCTCTCTATAGGAATGCTGTAGCTAAATTAAGCTATTCCCCAAACATATCTTACTTACACTTTGCTGCCTCCATGTATTTGTTCAGACTGTTCTCTTTTCTTGGCATGCCCTTGCTATACATCTTTTCCTCCATAATTTTTTTCCCTTTTTTTTTTTTTGGCAATTGGGGTTAAGTGACTTGCCCAGGGTCACACAGCTAGTAAGTGTCAAGTGTTTGGTCTGAGGCCTGATTTGAACTCAGGTACTCTTGACTTCAGGGCCGATGCTCTATCTACTATGCTACCTAGCTGCCCCTTCCTCTACAAATTTTAAACATCCTTAAAGACCCAGCTCCAGGGGTACTTCCTCCTTGAAGTGCTCCAGGGGTACTTCCTCCTTGAAGTCTTCTCTAATACCTTGCCCTGATATACTGGAAGTGCTCTCCTTTCTCTGGATTCCCATTGCACGTTGTATCAGTCATATGATATTTATTAAGTCTTGTCTTGTTTTATGTGCTTGAGTTGTTTATAATTAGTTACTTATATGTATTGCCCTGGGCTGGGAAGATATTTTATACTTCTTTGTATTCCCAAGAATGTACCTAGCAGAAGGACTTGCACAGAAGAGTTGGTCAGGAATATTTATTAAAGGAATGAAAAGTGTTGGGTGTCTTTAGAAAGCCCAAGATGACTTAATAAGATAGTCCATTAAGTCTAGACATTGGGATGATAAAAATGGCCCAGACAAGGTGATATATAGGATATCACACCCCAATCCAGTGTGATTATGTTTGTTGCCCTACTGGTGTGGGAGCAAGTCTAAAAACACTCAAGATGTCCTACAGAAAGGAGTTAATAAGTTGCTGATAGATATATTTCTGTATAAGTACAATAACTGCAATAAATTAGCCATAGTTACTTTTTGTGAGATAAAGAGGACTTAGAAATTTGCTTTCAGATATAGACTCTGATCGTTTTCTAACATAGGTTCCGTTCCTAAGGGTAATTTACAACACTGAGGGCCAGACGGGAGGCCAGTGATGGCAGTGGGACAAGGATGGGGAGTCAAAAGCTCAACGAAGAGTGAGAAAATATTACTCTTTATTCTGTAGTCAGAATCCACATTTATGTGAGGCCCACCTCCTCTCTATCAAAGTTATTTTGGCATTTTCACCTTTGTTTGTGCTGCTTCTTTCCCTAAATACCTGTAGTAACTTGCCTAGCTCGGTACTAGAGACAAAGTAGTTTCTTCATAAATACTTGTTGATTGATTATCTTTTCAGTTTTTCTCTTTTGGTTGTAATTAATTCATTCAAATATATATTGATAAACTCATGGCAACATGCTGAGTTCCAAAAGGAATGAGGAAGACGCCTAAGTTACAGATCCTGCCTTCTAGGATTTTTCAATCTAATTGAGAAGAAAAGGCATATCCAGATGAAAGTTATGATATAGATACATTATATTTACACAATGTTAGAAAAACAATACAAAGAATACAATTAAGAGTCAGAATGAGCAATAGAGAGAATAAGTGGTATTATAGTTCAAAGAATAGGGAGACTAATATGAATTAGTAATCAGGGATAACCTCATGGCAGTTCTGAGACCTGAGCTGGGTCTTGTAGGATAGGTAATACTTGGGAAGGTAGAGAAGAAGGAGAGGACATTCCAGGACAACAGCTCAGGAAAAGATATAGAGACTAGGGGATGATTTTGATAAATACGTGAATTATGATAAGCATCTGTCAGTGGAAGACTTTGTATTGGGGAGTAGTGAGAGATGACGAGTGGATAGATAGAGATAGGGCAAGATTGTGTCAGTTTTTAATACTTGACTGAGAAGTTTGGACTTTTATTTTATAGGCAGTGTGGAACCATTGGAGGCCTGTGAACAAGAGAGTGACATGATGAAATTTGAATCTTTTGGGAAGATTAGCTGTCAGTAATATACAGGAAAGTTGATGGGGGAGGGGTTTGGAGGAAGATAGTATTTGGAAACCAGAGACAGAGATTTGTTAAGAGACTGTTGCAGTAGACCTGGAGAGGATGAGAGGAATGACAAGATAAAGGCAATGGAAATGGGAGGATGAATTAGATTTCAACTAGATAAGGGATGCAGAAGAAGGAGCAAAAATGACTCAGACTTCAAGCTTGAATTATTGGGAAAGTAGTAGTGTCATTATTTGGAAAGGAAGCTGGTTTAAAAGTAGAGTGATAAATCTGAGCCTCAGATCTCGGCCTCTTCTATGAAGCCTTCTCAGACTATTAATCCACGTTGATCTCTTTCTTTTTTTTTTTGAATTTCTGTAACACCTAAGTCTGTAGTATTCAATTTAACTTTTGAGAGGTAGTGAATGTGTTTAGTGAGAAAATGGTTATATAATTTCAGAATTAATGTATGGCGAGATTATGTTTAGGGGTTGTATATGTGGGAAAATGAGACAGTCAGTGATTTGGCATTTGACAAGGCAAGTGCAGAGCTGAGAAACCCCGGTCAGATATAGCTGAAGGGGGCAGGATGATAAAATAGGTCATGGTGACATCTCCTTCCCCCGTTTCTCCCTGTGTATAAGAAATATTAGTAGAATAATCCATGAGATCAGATAGCAGATGTGAGTAATGAATTTCTGAACCCTCCTACTTTTGTTTTGGGAAGATATTGCTCGAGGGCTGGAGGGGAGGGAGAAAGGGATAGGATCATGTATTGGGTTTGTATGATATGTCATATCTAGCGTGAGTATAGTGTGAGCACATAAGTATTTCATCAGTGCTTTTTGATTGCTTGATTAGAATTGAGATTGATGGGCAGTGGTATGGGTGGCAGAGAGCCCTTGGTTGTGTTGGGGAAGTCAACCAGATTTACTCAATTGTGTGTATAGTAAACTCTGTACTGGAAGCAAGGAATGAAAGTTGAGGTCTTTGAGAGGTTGGAAGAACCTGTTTAGGTTTATAAAAATGTGCCGGCCCTCTTCTTACCTGCTAATTTTCCTAGCCTTTTACATATCTAGAAATTTTATGGAGTCATTGCCTCTCTGATGGCAGTGAGTATACTTCAGAAAGAGTAATATAATTTGTATTTAAGGTCTTAACTTACCTGCAGGTTTATTTCTTTTTTTCGACTAGCTTAGTTTTTCAGAGATTGTATTTGTGGATTCACATTACTTAGAATGGTTACTCAGAAAGTGGTACTGTGGATTGAGCTCTGGGGAACGTCAAGGAAGGATGGAAGTCTTGATTATTGATTTCTCCTTTCTCCTGTCCATTCAGGTATCATGAAAAATTAATTAATAGTTTACTTTGGCCTTTTGCAATTTGAGTCTGTGTTGTGTCTTGCTTCAGAGTGGGCTATAGATCTAGTTATGCAGAGGTTATAGTGCGCAAATGTAGGCTCAAAATTCTGATTATTTTCCCTACCCTTAGGTCCAATGGTTCAAGGACAGGGGTAGCCTTGCTAAAGGAATTTAGACAAGAGGATTGTTTGAGTAAACATTTTAGTGCTCATTTCATGACCCCCATTTACTTCAAAGGACTGTTAGACA